TGGCATCCCAAGAACACATTTTTTCAGATACTTACAAATTCGGCATTTTCTCCAAAGTCAGTTACCAGGTTTCCCAGAGGCTCCTCAGAGCTCTGTCATAGATGACATTCTTAGCTTGCAGCCTTCGGGAAAAGGTCTGATCTCAAAAATCTACAGCAAGCTCACAGATCTGAACCAAGCACCTACAGCTAGGATCAGGGCAGCCTGGGAACAAGACCTGAACCAAACAGTGACGAGGCCACACTGATCCATTCATTCTGGGTCTGCCCCAAGCTTAGAACGTTTTGGCAGGAGGTCTTTCAAACTCTGTCCGTGGTCGCTGGGGTAACTATTACACCTCATCCACTTCCAGCTTTATTTGGTGTTTACTCTGGGACCCACAGAGTCTCCTCTGATGTCCGTCGCATGTTATCAGTCACCTCTCTCCTGGCCAGGCGTGTTATTCTGCTCAGATGGAAGGATGCTGCCCTCCCAACCTATGATCAATGGCTATCAGATGTGAGGTCTTGCCTAAGCCTGGAAAAGATCAGGGATTCTGTTCAGAACCAAGGGGGAGATTTGAAAAAGTATGGGGACCCTTTGTAAGATACCTTTCTTATCCCAACTGATTCTACTTACATCCATTCGTAATTGATTTACTGCAATTTCAGTTCAAGATTATAAAAGGGGAAATAAAGACAAGCAAAGAGAAAAGAACTTGACATCCAGTCTCACAGCTTTACATATTTCTTGCTGCTTTGAGGACCTAGTACCAGTGTCACTCTTTGATTATGTCAGTTTTTGCCAGTAACATTTTGCAGATTGAGCCATGCTGTTGTTGTTGTTGTTGTTGTTGTTGATTTGTCCTTTTTACTGTTGGGGTTTTGGGTTGTCACTGTACAACTATTCTGCATAGAATTTGTGCTCACTACTACTTTTTACTTTATGCTGCTATGTAGCGCACAAAGGAAATCTCTTCATTGTAAATTCTCGTGTTTGAACATTCAATAAAAAGATCATTGATTAAAAAAAAAGACAAAGCCGGGCTACGTATTCAGAAGTGGGGCTGTGTGTGTGCTTTATATGTATTTCTTTATTTGGCGTGTACCTGCTCATGTCATACAGGAAACGGTCTGCTTTGGCCATACGATCCAGCTCATGTGTGTGATCTTCCAACAGTTCGATGTCACTTTTCTCAGGAACAAACTTCAGAAGCTTCATGTACAGACACACACACACACACACACAATCAGAAGTGCATATCATTTGATTTGAAAAGTTCTTGATGTAATTATTGACTGAGACATGTGAACCCAAAATAAATATGTTTTTGTCAGCATCTCTGGCCCAGCAGTCTCTGCTGTTCCTTTCCCTCTCTACCTGTCTTGGTGAGCTGCTACCTAATCAGCAGCAAGTGTGAACACCTGAGCAGAGGCTGACTCACCTGCCACAAATTACTGTAGAAAACTCTGGCTCAGACATCACTTTCTGCCGGAGCTGTACTGATCCTGTCGTAGTAGTATTTTTAAATTACAATGCCAATCATTTGTAAATCCCATCACCTAAAACTGCCTACATGAAAACTGAGCTGGACTGCCATTCCCCTGCCATATTGCTTTTCTTAAAATGCTATGGTAAACATGGTCATGGACGTGGAGCATGTTCAGCACGTCTTTTTACACTGTGTTGTGCTTTTGTGTATGTGTATGTTGTAAAACCTGCTCCAGCATGTCTTTAGGCAAGTCTTCCTGTTCATCCATGGTCAGAATGGCATGGCCGATCTCGTCATTGGTCAGCTTTAGCCTATAACAACCATTCAAATATTTTTTTCCAGATTATTACATTACATAGGCCCTGGAATACCTTTCTTTTGGTGAAATTACAATGGAAGCAACTTATCATGTAATGCCATCATGCAAAATGTGACAGTGGGCACACCTATGGTGGGAAAAACCACTAAGGTGGTTTTGAAGTTCTGTGGATGTTTATTGCTTGTCCATCTGTCTGTGGACAGATTTTGGCAACATGAAAGCATTACAACTGTACAAAATGCAGTCATGAAACTTTACATGTATTTATTAGGATTAAAATGAAGGCTGGATTCAAAGATGGGGTGGTCTGATCCATGAGTTCTGAGCACAACGAAGGTCATGTACTAAGTATCCATAGGTTTAAAACATCAACATGTTCATGGGCATCATGACTGCTGTAAGCCCATTGTCAGGCTGTCTATAGTTGAATTAAAGGTAAAAAAAAAACAAAACTACTGCTGAAAACTACAGATTGTGTTTCTACGGTCTGTCAAAACATTGTCCCTCATTTCTCATAAAGGAAAAACCAAACCAGTCACTGAGCCTAACGAATGACCCTTAGTGAACGGAATCTGTACACCAGTGGCGGCTGGTCAATACTGAGCGCAGGGGCGCCGCCCCACAATTACCAGATAAAAAAGTAGTTCTCAAATGCCATATTAAATTTTAATTCATTGTAACAAAATAACAATAAAATTGATAATAACGTTTATATTATTTTGCCATATTAGCAACATTTGTATTATTAACAGATTTAAAATTAGTCTTTGCTGCATGTTTACTAATTTTACACTTCCTGGATGTGGGGTGTGGCCACATGACTGTGTATGTAGTTCATAGACTGTGTAACAGATGGA